TGCCACAAAGCCCCACACACTGGACGACCCAGAGAGGGGTCCCGACTCCCTAAGTTCTCTTCCAAAAGAAGATGGAGGCACAGAGAGGTTAAGTAGCCAGTGACAGGCCATTGACCTGAGCCTTCTACCTGGTGGTAGGGACAGGCCCTCCCTTTGAGAGGCTCAGCCCTCGTAGTGGGGAGGGTGGAATTCCTCCAAGGAGGGACTGAAAGAAGGATGGAGGCTCAGAGAGGACACAAGTAGCCCGCAATCACCACTGACACACACACACATACACACACACACACACACACACAGAGCCAGCAAGGGCTGTCCCATGAGGGAAGAGGTCCCCAAATTCCAAAGGCCTGAGAAAGCAAAGGTAGAGGCCTCCGCAGACCTCACCAGAGTCCACCATAAGCTCCCACTCCAGCAAGAGGAAGTGAGATGGGAGTTCCAGAGACTGGGAATCTCCTGGTTCACCCCTAACCTGAAGCCAATGGATGGACTCCCTAGGTAGACTGGGGCAGCTGGGGCACACCAACCAGAAACAGGGAGGCCACAGGGCTGGCCTGAGCTTACAGATTCGCTTCACAGAAACAGGACCAGCTAGTCAGCCCCCTTGAAAGTTCCAAAACAGATCACTATATCCTTTCACTCTGAAATTCCCCTCCTGGGAATTTACCCAAAGAAGGAAAAAGCTGTGAGCACAACGGAGGTCACCACAGGGTTGTTTATAAAGAGACAGACACTGGAAGATTTAAGTGGCCGGCTCTGATGCTGCCCTTGCCAGACGGTTTGGCAGCCCTTAAATCCAGCGAGACTGAGGATTAAGATGGACAGCAAGGGGTGCTTAGAGCCCATTTTTTCCTTAACAGACTATAAAATTGTGCAGAGATCACAGTTAAGAACACACACAAACTCTAGGATGAGAAATCTTGGACAGATGAAGACTATTAGCTCATCTGTGAAATGCGGCTAATTTCAGTGATGCCTCAGGAGTGTGAGGCTAAAATGTGATAACACAGGCACAGGGCTTACCTTATAGCTCAGGCCAGACGAGTGCGCAAGAAATAGCAAATCAAAATGATAGAGCTTTTATCACACTGACGACCGGTAAAAAACAAAAACGCTTGATGACACCAGTGTTTCCTGAAGGTTCAGGAAACAAGCACTCCCATCTATTGTTGGAGAGCAATCTGACAGCATCCATCAAAGCCTTTAAATGCACATACTCTGAGATCAGAAATTTCACTACAAGGAACTTGACCTATCTTTGGAGTACTATGCCAAAACATATTCATGGTAGTTCACACTGTAATAATTACATACAAAGCTGGAAACGGGGGTCTACCAACAGCAGAAGGGTTATAGAAATGGTTCCATCCACAGAATGGGATTCTGTGGAACTGTTAAGGCAAGGAAGAGCAGTGATACCGCTGGAAGGAATTTCTGTGTGTACAGCATGACCAATTTAGTGTAACTTTCATACCATTATCATTAGGTAAAAGCTCAAGACTATTTTTCTAAATGTAGTCCAGAAAATTTATTTTGTGGAGACACTAGGATTCAGTAGAGATTGGGAAGCAGATATATTTTTAATTTTACACCTTTCTCTCTTAATTTTAACCATGTGTACGTTTATATAACACCTATATATTACAAACACATGGGCTGACAGGGTTATCTGAATGGCAGAATTACAGGCCATTTAATTTTTTTTGATATATATATTTTTAACCAGCTTAACCATTTTTAACCATCTTAACCATTTTTAAGTAGTTTGTTATGCAACCATCACCACCATCCACCTCCAGTTTTTTCAACATTCCAAACTTGTACTCATTAAACTCCCCATTCCCCCTCCTTCCAGGCCCTGGTAACCACCATTCTACTTTGTCTCTCTGAATCGGACTCCTCTAGGGGTCTCATAAGCAGAATCATTCTACTGTCCTTTAGTGACTGGCTTATTTCACTTAGCGTAATGTCCTTAAGGTTTATCCATATTGTTAACATGTGGCAGGATTTCCTTCCTTTTTAAGGTTGAATAATATTCCTTTGTATGGATATACTATATTTTGTTTGTCCATTCATCCAACAATGGACATTTGGGTTATTTCCATTGTGAATAGTGTTGCTATGAACACAGGTGTGCAAGCATCTGAGACCCTGCTTCAATTCTTTTGGGTATATACCCAGAAGTGGAATTGCTGGTTCATATGGCAAATGTTTAAATTTTTGAAGAACTGCCAGACTGTTTTCCACAGCAGCTATATTATTTTATCTTCCCACCAGCAATGCATGAGGGTACTTGGTTATTTTTAAACTGTTTTCTTCTAACGGCTGCTAAGGAGACTTACGTGATCTTCCGGCTTTTCCTGGTGTTGCTGGTACCATGTAGTTTGTGAAATAAGTAACATGTTCTGTGATGGCAACAACTGACATCTTGCACACACCCTGGCCCCAAATGGTGGAGGCCCAGGTGTAGCCAGGGCAGGTCAGAGCGTCTAGACAATGAAAGCCTGCCCTCTGTGGCCCATGACTGGTACCCCCTTCCACTGCCCCAGGGCAGGGAAGCTCCTGGGGGAAGTGGAAAACCTTAGTAAGGTACTTACCTCAACAGGCCCTCCCAGTGCCAGGGATTCCTGGCAGGCCTGGTCATGGCTGCTGTCCCTGGACGCTGAAGTGAGGTTCTTGAGTCAGGCCTCACTGCCTATTGTCAGCAGAGAGAATGCAGCAGTCAGTGCCCATGGCTTCGGGGTCAGCAAGCAGGCCTGGACATGGGCTCAAGAGGCCTGGTCATGGGAGTTGCCCCACCCACAGGCAACTACAGAGTGAGGCCCCCAGGGGCCCTCTAAGGTCAGGCCTGCAACTTCTGGGGCCCTCAAACCCTTCTCCCAGGTTTCTCAATATTTGGACCAGGGAACACCTGCATCAGAATAGTAAATTGGGATGGGATTAAAGATGCAGACTCTTGGGCCCAGGGCCCAGACTTTGATTAAAGTTTGGTGTCCAGCCTAGAGATCTGTATCACTGAGAAGCATAATCAAGTTTCAGAATTACTGATTCAGGCAAAAGCTGGCCTCATTCTCTGGGGAAGAATTCAGAGGCAGGAGTGTGGCCTCCAAACTAAGGCTGGCAAGGAGCACTCCTGACATAAGCTCTGTAGGGGTCACATCTGCCAGGTCCCTGGCACACAGCATGGGTTCAGAAGTGAAGGGTGAAGGGCCAAGGTGGAGAGCCTGGAACACCTTCCTTAGGACCCTGCCTCCCTGCTCAGCAGAGGGACCTCCAGGAGAGAAGAGCAAGAAGTCTTCAGAGTGATACCACCAGTCCCCAGTTCCCCAGGAAAGAACTGGGATCTCCATTACCCTTGTGATGGCGATAATGTTCCCAATGGGGACCATGCTGAACTCCTCACAGGATCACTCAGTCTTCAGTCCAGAGGAGGATGAGGGAGCCCAGAACGTGGAGGCTAACCACCTGGCCCCTGACCCACAGCACTAACAGGTGAGCTGAGACTTTTAGAACCCAACCCAGTCTGATTCCAAACCTATGCTTCAAACAATCTGGAAGGAGCCAGGAGGAATGACAAGCATCAATTAAAACATCTCCACATTGGCTGTGCGAAAATCCAGACAGCAAAAGGTACCTGTGGTGACTGCAGGCATGTGGAAGGGCATCCCTTATAAGGTTGCTTGGTCTCTTGCAAGTGGATCAGTGGGACAGCGACAGAGCTGGTCAGCCTGATTGTGCCCCTGCTTCCTGGGGCTCCTCACTCTCACGAGGTTTTCTGTTTATGAGAGCAAGTGACTGGCAGGGAAGCGCTTCAGCACCCTCCAACTCAAACTCCTCTGATTCTTTGACGTAAACTGAGAGTATTTTCAATCCTATGTCAGGTGCTCTAAAAATAGTTTCAGTTGTCACTTCAACCCAGTTGTCACCCCAGCACTGCCGAGATGGAAATACTGGAGCTGCAGGTGTGAGGGCCTGAGGAATCCAGTGCAGGGTGTTGCTGGGATGGACAGGCCAGACTGATCCAGGGGCTCCCAGCAGAGATGAAAGGGGAGGAACGTGAGGCTGCTGATGGAAGGCGGTGCACAGGTGTGGGTTCCAAGGCACAGACTGATCCTGAGAGAATCTCAGGGCTCATGGTGATGAGCCTGACATGCAGAAACAAGGTCAGGAGGGTGTGGCTGGGCTTCTTCCCCAGAGGAGAGATTTCACCTTTTCTCCCAAAGCACTAACTGATCATGGATGCTCAGAGGCGAGCTGAGGAAGGACACGAGCCTGCATCCTGCAGCGAGCACAAATGAGCAGTGTCTTCTCTGGGCCACACATTCACCTGGCATGACTCCAACTGCCTGCTGGGCTCTTTAAAAACTGCTCCATCAAATGATGCTGCCCAAGCTTTGGTTCTCATACTGAAAGATACTTTAACAGTAACCTTTTGCCCACTTTAAATTGCAGTTATCAGATGTTCTAAGCTCCTAAACTATTGTACACTCTATGTTTTTACACATTAAGACAGAACTTTCCATTTATGTCAAATTCCCATTTTGTACCACCTTTGGCTAATTTTATTTTGATGAGAATTTGGGGTTAGCTGTGACACCCCCCACTACCTTCACCTCCAAAAATATCACATATTAAACAACGGGGAGAGGGTGGGTAGTCTCCCAGCACCCGAGCCCAGGGAATGAGCCCCCTGCTGACCCCACAATAGAATGCTGAAACCAGACACTGACCTCAGCGCCCCTGACAGAGATAGGCAGACTCAGTCTAAAATCTGGCCAAAGACTCTCCCCAGGAATTTACCAATCAAAAATGCGAATGGATGAACCAGCTCAGTATTACCTGAGGTTCCCAATCCTCCCAGCTCCCTTTCCTCCCAATCCTTTCCCTGGGAAAAAGAGAGTCTATTTATGGCAAATAATTCTAGAGCTGAATCAATGCACTGTAAATAAGAGACCAAAAAAAAGAAACTATAAAGGGCTTCCATTCTGACCAACCCAACATCATTACTGTACAAAAAACAGTTTTATTAATTACCCCAACTGTGCCTCTGTTCATGCTCTAGGTCACACTTGTTTCTCAGATTCGGCCCAGGCTCATAGGCAAGTTACCAGATTAGCAAATAGGAAAACTGTTCTGCAAAACAGCAACTGTCAGCTTAAGGCATTACTAACATTGCAGAAAGAAGCAAGGTTACTAGGGAAGTTTGGACAACCCAGGATAATGATTTCTGGGACAGGAAACCCTCTCTGAAAGGGCCAGTCCATGCTGCTGCTGGGAGATGACACTCTTGCTCTGGGGAACAGGTCGCTCCTTTAAACCCATCCACAACATCACAGACAAAAGACTTTCTATTCCTCGAGCTTTCAGATTTAGAAGTTAGTTCTATAAAAAGCACTCTGTCCCAGAAGCCCCGACACATCCACGGGCCTCTGAGTGCTCACTTGGTCCTCCCTGACTGGAGCAGAGGAGGATGGAGATATATGGAAGGTTGGTCAGGCTCAGTTTTTAAAAATGAAGTCACTACTAGAAATACGGAGCAAGGGGCAGAGACCCCTGCTGCAATCACATGCTGAATCATTGTCCTCCCAGAGAGCGGGCTCCTACAGGTTCCTTCAGTCCATGGAAGTGCTCAGAGCGGGGCAGGCCAGTGTGGCCACGGAGCTGTGCCTGCCTCACTGCATGCCGAACCACTGCTCCTGGTCAGCCCACTGGGCCGCCTCACTGTCGCTGCCCTCCAGGTCCCCTTCTTCCCCACTCCCTTCCATGTCGTCCACATCCTCCTCCTGAGTGGCATCCGTGGGACTCTCCTCCTTCTCCATCTTCTGCATCCCCTCTAGAGACTTCTGGTCATTGGGGTCCAAACTAGGGGACAACAAAACAAAGGAGAGGCCTGAATCTCTGCCTTGCTTCTTGCTGGCTGATGTGTCATCTCTCCCTGGCACAGCAGTGAAATGACCACCCAGTCACAGAGAAACTGCTAATGCCTGGCCTCTCCAAACAACTCCAGTTCCATAGGGAAGATTGAGGGAGTCCACCACTAGAAGTGAAAAAAGGCATCTTGTCCTAAGTTTTAGAATTCTCAATTTGAGTTTTCTCCATTTATTTCTTAAACCTTTTCACACTTAATACCCCTAGCATTCTGCTAGAGGAAGATACTAGATAACACAAATGAAAAAGTAGCAAACAACCATTAACAGAAAAATTCAAATATAATTTAACAGTATTAGGTTTTTAAGTTACAAGTTTACAAAAAATACTTATTTTTCTGTGAGTAAAACTGTTCCATATTCTTATGATATAATTAAACATATCAGCATTTCAGTAGTCAACCAAAATCATCATGCTTACCATGGAACAGATTTGTCAACTCCTAGGTTAGACCCCAGGACCCAAAGCTACCCAACCTGGGCATTTGACTGTAGCAGCTAAGAGTATTGTGCATGCCAAAACCCTCAAAGTTCAGAGGGTCCAGAACATTTATTTACTTGGTTCCTAAGCAATCTCTCCTCTTGCCTTTGTGACCATCACTGAGGCCAGCCGGTGTCCAATCTCTAGCAAATTCCGCTTCTATATTTTATTTTCACATTTGCTTCTGGGTTTCCAAAAAGCAAATGAAACCCATGTTGGAATCCTGTCCCTACTTATGTAACTGTAGATTGACTGTAACATCTCCTATTCTCTGAAACCTTCCATACAGCTCTCACCCACACGCAGCGCTCCCCACCCTCTGCACTCCCACCCTGCCTTCTAGAGACTGCTTTGAAAGCACTTAGCACATGGTATCTATCAGTCTGCACGTCTGAGACTGAGAGCTCCCGGAATCACAGCATCCCCAGTGTTTACTGAGATGCCAGGCACATGAGTGGTGCTTAACTGCTGAACAAGTAAATAGATGTGATCAGACTCGATTAAAGACAGGCCTCCACCATAACTTTATAGACACACAGACGACCCTCAAAGAAATCACTTCTGTATTAAGCAGTAAGAATACCACTATTTATTTAGTATTTACTATATACCAGGCACAGTGCTAAGAGCTTTACACGGAATAATCATTTAATCCTCGTTTAATCATTTAATACCTAATAAGGTAGATATAGACAAGGAAATCTGTTAGTAACTTGCCCAAGATAACAGGTGGTAAAGGTAGTATTCTTCAGAGCTTAAGTTCTTAACTACTACAGTAGGTAGAAACATGGGAAAGTACTTACAATACGTTGATTGAAAAAGCAGAATATAAAATATATACTACGTATAACCCTATAAAAATACGTATATGTGTTGGCAAGGCCAGGAAGATGATCTACACAAATGAAAACAGATGTTATAGTGGTGTGGCTGGTTATGAGTGAAACAGTTCTTTAATGTTAATATCAGTTAAGGAAAAGACTTCAGAAGTCATAAATTTACAAACAACTCTACCATTACTATTATTACTGTTTTCAACCATGGGCACAAAGTGTGTGTGTTTCCAGAACTCCTGTTACATTGTTCCCTGCTTCCTCTACCCCTCAATGACCTTCCCCCCATGGGAGGCTAAGTGCCTACCTTAGTGCTATACTATACTGGTCCATTGCTTCCTGATACTCATTGACAGCTACAAGGAAATCTCCTAGGATCCGATGCAGGACACAGTCACTCTGATTAGCTAGTGCGTTCCGCAGCAAAGCAATTCCATCTTCATATTTCTGTTCTCTGCCTGAAAAGAAAAAGACTCTCATTTTCCTACTTACACAACATTTCGAAATATATTCCCATCGCAAGTCATATACACAAAACCACAACAATGATCACAATCCAACATCTATTTATAGATGTCAAGAGAACAGTGGTGTGGCAGGAAGTGAGAACAAGGTCGTTTGAATTCTTATTCCATTAGGAACTCTGCAGTTTGAGTTCTGATTTTTAAAAACTTACTCACGACCAAAGTTCATATAAAAAGCCAGAATGGATTTTATTTGCTAAACTACCCTAAACTCAGTTCATCATAAATCAGGACTTAAAAAACCAAGTCTAAAAGGGAAGTCAGGGGCTTCCCTGGTGGCACAGTGGTTGAGAGTCCGCCTGCCCATGCAGGGGACACGGGTTCGTGCCCTGGTCCGGGAAGATCCCACATGCCGCGGAGCGGCTGGGCCCGTGAGCCATGGCTGCTGAGCCTGCGCGTCCGGAGCCTGTGCTCCGCAGGGGAGAGGCCACAACAGTGAGGGGCCCGCGTACCGCAAAAAAAAAAAAAAAAAAAAAGGGAAGTCATAAGATGGGTCAAAACAGTTCAAATTGGTTAAAACCAGTTATATTCGGCCCAAATTAGTTCAGGACAAAGTGAGCTGAATAGGTACTAACCAAGTACACCTGGTTTGAGCCACTCCACGAAAGTCATTCTAAGCCAATTACATTTGGTTGTGCTAAATATAAACCAATTCACATGGGCTCAGACCTAGTGCAAAAGCACACACCCAGGGCTTCCCTGGTGGCGCAGTCGTTGAGGGTCCGCCTGCCGATGCGGGGGACATGGGTTCGTGCCCCGGTCCGGGAGGATCCCACATGCCGCGGAGCGGCTGGGCCCGTGAGCCATGGCCGCCGAGGCTGCGCGTCCAGAGCCTGTGCTCCACAACGGGAGAGGCCACAACAGTGAGAGGCCCGCATACCGCAAAAAAAAAAAAAAAAAGCACACACCCGTTTGGTCATCTGTAACCAACTGGGACTAGGGAATCCAACTGAGATCAGGTTTTACACAATTAACTACGAACAGGGAAGTAAACAAGATACACTTACTAAGCAGTTCCGCTTTTTTCACCACAGCCTTAATGTAGTCCGGCCTTTGAGTCAGGGCTTTATCTAATAAAGTTTTGGCTTTCTCCTGTGTCACTGGGTCTTCAAGACAAACGGTGGCTAAAAGGGTAAGGGTCTGTGCATTTGCTCCTAGAGTTTTGTAAACATTGTTAGCCATTACCATTGCTTCACGAATACTGTTGGAGGCTAAGTAACATTCGATGAGACCTGAAAAAATATAACACAAAGTTCAACCACATTACCATTCCAAGCCATACTTCCATCTGACAGCCTTCCAAATTACAAACCTTCAAAGTTTAAAACAAAGGGCAGGCCAAGGGAAAAGTCTGATGGTGAGATCAGACTGAAGGGTATGTTGATGGAACAGCTAAGAGGTGCTCTTCCCCAGAGCACTTGACGGACGTGGAAAAAGCCTGTAGCGCAAAGGCACCTTCAGTTAGTGAAGGAAACAAACATGCACAAGTAAACCAAAGCATGTAGGCAGCCCAGCTGCAAGTCAGAGGAACGAATGTGACACTAACTAATGTGACATTAACATACTGTGAAAGAGGAGGTTTCCAACAAAACCCAAGGTTTTGCTGCCTCTTAACAAACTGTTAATTTCCAGCTGTGCTCAGTCACCTTTAGTCCTACATTTAAGGGGGAGGGCTCCTACAGTCCACAGCGAATGTCCAGCTCTAAAAACTAAAGGACCTAGGGAGCAACCTCAGGAGAAAGGAAGACCTTCTCATTTGAAACATAAACGTTATCTCAAGAAGCATTTGCTGAGGGTTTCCCTAAACTGGATGGAAAGGGCTTAATCAGATGGATCAAATACACTGAGATCGGCAGCTCCTGCCTCTTTCCATACCCACAGCAAGATGCTCCACGGGGACATTTCAAGTACAGTCAACTCTCAACTGTTCATGCCAAGAAATCAAAGAGAACAGAGGAGGTACTTTTTCGTCCAAAGCACTCATCAAAACAGAAAAACAGCTTAAACCCCAAACCCACACACTCCCTGGCAGATTTTCTCTGTATACTCCTCCACCCTAGTGGCATTTATAATATATGTGCACATTCTACCACACACTATGGTTACTTAACCAGAAATTACCTAACTCTTAAGGGTAACGTGGTGGATTCAGAATATGGTGGTTGGTTGTAACTACCTACTGAATAGTTTTACTTTCCTGCTAAAGCCCCACTGGAAATTCAGAGGGAAATGTGAAGAATGCACTTCACTGATCCAGGGCCCCCACCAGTAAAGAAAGCTTGGTTGGCGGCTACAAGAACCACCAGAAGGCATAACCAAGTCACCCTGATCCAAATTTCCAAATTGTGGCTTGAGTGAAGGCATCCCATAAAGCCTCACTGGCCAACTGGGGAACAACTCTAACTATCCTGTGTCCAACCACTCACTGTGGTAATGCAGTTAGCTGCATTCCTAGGCTCTTGTGAAACAGGCACACAGCAGACAGAAGTTAGCGTGATAAAAGCAGCTGGGAGGCTAGGGAAGCTACAGTTTCAGGATCAAGAATTTAATCTGAAACCAAAAGCTTGGTTTGTTGCAGTTTCTTAAGAACAAATCCACAACAGGCATAGTTCTCTGGCTATCTAAGCAGATTTGTTCTTTACACCAACTTCCAAATTTTATTTCTCAAATTTGAACTCATCTTCCTGTTAAGAGCAAATCACTCCTAGACTCCTGGGTTTATTTTTAAATTCTTATAAAAATATGCTTTGGAGGAACTGCATCTTGTAAGATCTATTTTAACGTCTCCGACTGAGTCACCAAATGCTGCTGAAGCTGGCATAGCTTTGAACTCCTAGGGGCAGTTCACACGAACTTAAAATAGTACATAACAAAGTTTGACCCTGATCATGCCTACTCCAGAGGTCACAATGAACTGACCAGTTCCCACAACCAACACTGTCATATGGATACTGAGTTACCCTATGAGTAATATTTCTGGCCCAAGGTAAGACAATTGTAAAAAAGAATAAAGACAGGGACTTCCCTGGTGGTCCAGTGGTTAAGACTCTGCGCTCCCAATGCAGGCCCGCGTTCGATCCCTGGTCAGGGAACCAGATCCCACATATGCTGCAACTAAATAAAGATCCCACACCCGGCAACTAAGACCTGGCACAGCCAAATACATAAATAAATATTTTAAAAAAGAAGAAAAAAAAAACCAATAAAGACGTACCAAGCAATCCAGCACAGTGCCAGCACAGAGAAACTCACGTTAATGAGTGGGCCACGTTTGAGAAACAAAACATGACAAAAAAAACCAACCCAACTATACCCTAACCAAAAATCAGAAACAAAACATGAAAAAACTGGATTTAAAGTATGGAGTGAAAAGTCCGGCCATAAATGAATTTATAATGCCTAATGCAGTGGTTCCCAAATATGTCTGCACAATGGCATTACCTGTGATCTTAAAAGAGTACTGATGCCTATATCCCAACAGCAAATATTCTGACTTAAACAGTACTGGAGTGACCTAGCATCAGGATTTTTCAAAGTTCCCCCAGAGGACTCCAATGTACAACAAACTTTGGAAACTGCTGGCCCAACAAAACCTTCCATCTGAGTGCTGTCGCCACATCTACAAATCCACACCATTCATCTATATTTTTTATCTTACCTTCATAACAATCTAAGCGACAAGGTGCAAGACGTATAGCTTCCCGAAAGTGGATTATTGCTTCTTGGACTCTGCCCATGTTTCTGAGTGCTGCTCCCTTAAGTAGCAAAGCTTGAACACTATTACTGTTCAGCTGAATGGCCTTGGCTCCTAAATAGAGGGCTCGGGAGTAGCGTTTGCTATAGAAGCTATGACACCTGGAGGAAAAAACAACCAAAAGTTATCTGAGATAAGACCATAAAGAAACTTCTTCAAAAAGGAAAATCAGAGAAAAGGCCCTCTACGTGATCCTTACTACAAACCCCTTACAACTTTAGCCTAAGATATTAGTGAAAAAACAGAACAACAAGAATCTACTGAATATTTATTTTTAAGGGAGAAATCTTGATACGGAAGGGAAAAATTACAAAAAAGAACCTGATGGGGACTTCCCTGGTGGTCCAGTGGTTAAGAATCAGCCTTCCAACGCAGGGGACATGGGTTCAATCCCTGGTTGGGGAACTAAGATCCCACATACCACGGGACAACTAAGCCTGCATGCTCTAGAGCCCGTGCACCGCAACTACTGAGCCCACAGGCTCACACACTGCAACTAGAGAAGCTCACACACTGCAACGAAGAGCCCATGAGCTGCAACTAAGACCCGACACAGCCAAATAATAATAAAATTAAAAAAAAAAAGAACCTGACAATCTGGGTATGTTATCAGGTCAGAGACATTCAGAGAATTTGTAAAGCCAGGTTAATAACAGCAGCACAGTTCCTGGCCTGCTCACTGATGGCTGCCCGTGTTCAGGTGCAGTGCTGAGCATGATACATTCACTATCTCAGTAAACACCTACCCCATAAAGCAGGGGTATTATCCTCATTTTCCAAATGAGAAAACAGACTCAGAGAAGTAAATGATGTATCCAAAGTCACAGGCAGACCATGATTTGAATCCAAGTCTTGATTATCCCTTAAACCAAAGCTTTCAAATCTATATTCTATTGAGGAGGAACCACAATTTCCTAAAGAATCTACTAAAACTGGGGAGAAAAGGGAGTGCATAAACATACCCAGAGACCACCCAGGGTTCCGCATGTTGATCAGAAATATTGAAAAGGCGGCAGCCAAGGTTCTCCACATCCTCCAGCCGCCCTTCTCGTGCCAGGAGGTAGCCATATACATCCATTCCTACAAAGGAAGAGGCTCATTAAAGCAGCAGGCATCTTTTCTGAAGGAGGTGTAACCTTCATAAGAGTCCACACTGAGGCCCCAGCTCCAGCAAGGTCTGAGCCCTCTCCACCATCATGAGCTCCTCCCACCAGCATTCCCAGTTTCCTACAGAATGACTATTAAAAAGACAAAACAGGGTTTCCCTGGTGGCACAGTGGTTGAGAGTCCGCCTGCCGATGTAGGGGACACGGGTTCGTGCCCTGGTCCAAGAAGATCCCACATGCCGAGGAGCGGCTGGGCCCGTGAGCCATGGCCGCTGAGCCTGTGCGTCCGGAGCCTGTGCTCCGCAACAGGAGAGGCCACAACAGTGAGAGGCCCGCGTACCACACAAAAAAAAGACAAAACACATCCAAAAGTAAAAAAAAAAAAAAAAAAAGAGTAGAAGGACCTACCTCACAATTTGAAAGCCTGTTATTTTCAGGAACTATTTGTCCCTATATCCTGTGGTGTGATAATACAGCTATCCTAACACATAACCAGAAAAGGCCAAAAAAAGGCATCAAATTAACTTCTCTCTTCCAACAGGTCTAGACACAGTCAGGAGTACACACTTAATATGACGGTCTCAGAAAAAGTTAGCCTATTCTAGAAAAAGCATCTAGTTCCTTCTGGAGTCTAGTTCATTTAAGATCATCCCCCAGCCCTACCCCCCCCTTATTTTCGCTCATGTTCTATTAAAAAAAAGCCCCAAGCTCGCTGTCACCCATCTCTTACCACCATTCCCCTCCATTCCTTAATATTCCTTCAGATTCCAAAGAAAATGCCTCTCAAACCAAGATTACTGCAGCTCTCCCTGCTGGCCCCTGGACTCGGGTCTGAGCTTCTAACTCCAAGATGCTGACTCTACTGCCGGGCTACTACTTCTAAAACATCATTTTCATCATGGGCACAGGCAATTTGAAGAAGAGGAATAACAATGGGCAGGAGGGGACCTTGGGCAAACAAATTCATCTTTCTGGATCTGTTTCCCCATCTACATGCTTGTGAAGTTCCCCTCCCTGCTCTGTCAACTCTACAAAACTGGGATTTCCCTGCTGGCACAGTGGTTAAGAATCCGCCTGCCAATGCAGGGGACACGGGTTCGAGCCCTGGTCCGGGAAGATGCCACATGCCGTGGAGCAACTAAGCCCATGTGCCGCAACTACTGAGCCTGTGTGCCACAACTACTGAAGCCTGCGTGCCTAGAGCCCGTGCTCCACAAAGAGAAGCCACCGCAATGAGAAGCCTGTGCACCACAACGAACAGTAGCCCCTGCTCGCCACAACTAGAGAAAGCCTGTGAACAGCAACGAAGACTCAATGCGACCAAAAATAAATCAATAAATAAATTTATTAAAAGAAAAAAAAAGAGTCTACAAAACTGTTTATTGTCACAAGGCCATGTTTTTCTGATGACCTTTTTGGGGCCTTTACAAGCAGACTTCAGCCTATCTATCCAACCTTATTTCCTACTATTCCTGCACACATTACCCTTCACTCACTGCCACTCACCCAACAGCCATCCTTTGGAAGTCCCTGTGGCTTACCTCCTTCAGCAGCAATCTTCTTTTAAATCAATGATTTTTTTGTTGTTCACTTCTAATTACTTCCTTTAACCACCTGATCACTTTCTTAGTATCTGTTCACTTACTCCTTTTTAACTACATTTAAGGACACAGTAAAGCTAAACTCCCTAAAAGGATATACGGTCCTGGGGATGCCATCCAAATTCTCAGTCAGGCACATCATAAATCTGTAAATCATAAGGAAGGGCTATGATCCCTCCCCAAACAAAGAAAGCTAAATAATGATCTGTGGGGTGATGACACTTAAATTCAAGCAAAAACAACTGCTCAAAATGGAATTACCCAAGTGTCAGAGACACTGTCAAGGCCTAAAAAAAAAAAAAAAAAAGGTAAAAGGCTACTCTAATCAATTTTATAAAATATTTTTTTACAAAAAACTGTATCAGAAGATCATGTTACATCTTCTCCCTATCTTCTGATTTGCCCCTCTACAGACCTCCATCCTGCCCCAAGAATTACTTACCTTTTATCAGATAAGGATCCAACATCTGTGCCTGTTCAAACTTGAGGACAGAGTTTTTATTGTCTCCAGCTCTGAAGTACAGATCTGCCAAGCTTCCCAGTAGGTCCACGTTATCTCTCAATAAGGACTTTTTCTCTAGTGAACTTTAAAATATTAAACAATGAACCTTAAAGTCTATTGTAAATCCTCTTAGTTGTTGAATCTGGGTGATGGGTATATGGGCACTATTTTCTTTTATGTATGTACAAGATTTTTCACAAGGAAAGACTAAAAAAAAAGTGTAACTAGATTTTCTTATTCTGAGCTTTTAAAGTTATACAAGACTGGATAGTAAATACACAGAATAAAGCAGAAATCTCTCTCATTACCTAGAAACTTTCTGGTTGCAGTTTTTCAGAGGATAACATATACTATACGGTGTTAAATGTAATGTCATTCAAAGTGACAGCTACTTATTATTCAACCAAATGACTTTGCCTAACACAAACCCCACTCTTGTCCTTGGACTTTACCTGACTAGAAAGAAAAATCCCAGTCCTGAGGCAACCCAGGTCAGATGCTGCAATAATCTATGCTTCTGGGGCATCCGAAAAGATGTTCTTCCAGGTTCAAGTATGACACACTAAGGCCGTCTGTTTTGCAAGGGTTATTACTTTTGCAAGTACAGAGCTAAACTTGGTCCAAGTTTACATTTAACAGAGACTATTACATCTGGGACCATTCAGCACATTAACAGACTAGCAAAGCCTAGGGACAATTGGCTGTAATACCAACAGATAAGCATCCATTTTTCTGTTTTGCTAATTTATATACATAAAACCCCCATATAAGGGCCCCAAGAATACTGAATCAACTTTGTGGCTCTCACCAGATGGTATTGATTGCTCTCGAGTTGTCACCAACGTGCACAAAAGCATACGCTTTGATCCACACAGAAAGCCAATCTAAGTTAGGCAAGGTCTGGATCACGTTCATCGTCATTGATGCCACCTCTGCACCTTTTACAGAAAGGGACAGCAAACCTAATCCAACAAAAAGTAGGAGAAAGAAGGTGAGGCATAGCATCCTTCTTCTACAATGCAAAAAGCAATAGGCTACCCTTTCCCTAGGTTATAAGGCAACCCTTTCCCTATTCTAAGCAAGATGGACATGACAGAACAACTACAGTATTTCTTGATCAGTGAAAGAATACACGGCAACAGTAACCTATTGACTCACTCTCTGGAGGTGAAGCATGGTCAACTTTAAAAAAAATAAACTTATTCTAATGTACAGCCAAGATTATCTTAGAGAGTAAACACTCCATGAAAACAGGGAGAATGACCTGTACCTAGAATGGCATCAAGGGCTAATGGGCACTGCCTCAGCACTTCCTTATAGCTGGTGACTGAAGGTCGCTCCTGACCAGCCTTCTTGTACAGGTTTGCCAGCATCATGTTTATCTGTAATGAAAAGAAAGGACAATAAGGTAAGTATATATTTAAAAACAAAATCTCACCATCAATAAGTCCTGATTTTTATTATCAGCTATTCTACTTTTTACTGGAAAATCTACCCAAAGCTGTGTGGAAATAAAGCCCAACCCCATTCTTCAAACCAAAGAGGAAATTACTACTTTGTTTTTCCTATGTCCTCCCATTTCCCCCCAAGTTCTTCTCACTTACCCAGCCAAAAGGTCCAAAAATACTGGACCAAAGATGCTGCCTCTGGAAATGGAAGTAACCTTCATTTGAGAAATGTTACAGAATTCTAATTACCTTGATTTTTAAGACAGAAGATGAACTACCCTAAAAATGCTTGTTTACGTATTTTATTTTTTAAGTTTATATATTCTAAATGCAATTAATATCACAGCATGAGAAAGTGAGGAATTCTTAACACAGCTAATTAAAAAAGATCAGATGAATTTTCCCCAAAAAGGAAATGACAGATACAGAATAAAACACTTCGCTTCTCTCTGACAATTGGTCTAGCAGCTAGACTCTAGCCTTTCTAATGCTTAAAGCTTTGACCCACAGGTACTGTCTGATTGATCAAAGTAATGCTACAAAAATCAAACTCTAACTGACCTCTAGAGGTGATGATGATCCTGAGATCAGCTACACTATTTAAATCTAGTGAATGCATTTTTAGCACAATTCAAATATGTAACTCAGAAAAGCTCTAGTTAAGGAAAAGAAAAAGAAAAAGAAAAACCCTTCCTAAAAATGCAACAGGGAAAATTTGAGAATACCTAAAAGTTCCAAAGAATATAGAAGTTACAGGGAAGGGATAAATATTCTTAATAGTACAAAGACAAAAACACAATTTTCCAATTTAAAATTAATAGGTATTAAATAGAACACATTGTTTGCCAGATCATTACCCTAAGGAAGCAGTCAACATGAGGGCACAAAAGAAAAAAAAAGCCAATCCCCAATCTCCTCAATTATCTGTAGCTTGGTATGCCAGACACTTACTAAAAATTACTATGAAGATAAAGAACATCAACATCTGTTCCAATTATGAACTCATAGTATATAAAAATCTAGTACGCCATTAATCCATACTGAATCAAACAATGAAATAATGGATACTGGAAATAAAACTTTTTTTTTTCATTCAGATGGTCTTTAATCGGCTTCATGAAGCCAAAGAAAACTGCTTGTAAGAATTCCTTCACCCCTTCAGATACAACATTGACAGGACATGTGTACGTCTTCCGGCAAAAAAGGACAATATAAATACACATTTTCAAGAACCTCTCGGGGATGTCTGCAAATCTACTGTGGGTCCCACAGGACAGGTGGACGCCCAGGCCAGGGCAGCCCGGGTGCTCTGCTGCCACCTGCACGGTTCTATCACGCTACACTCAGAAACATGACACCGAGCTGGAAAAAAGCTACAACTTGCTCAGCTTCGGACAAAGAGCAGATTCAGAGTCTGTTCAATCTCAAAGAGAAGTGACTCGGGGCACCCAACTTTACGGGGCCGACCCCAATGAAAAGAAAAAGAAAAAAAGCAACACAACCGAAAACAAAAAACAAAACTCTCACAACCCCTGGTGATTTTCTGAAAAAAACCTCTTGGCTCACAGTAAAATGGTAAAAGTAAAACTGGAAGTGCTCTTCAAAACGTTTTTAAGACTCTTAAAAATGGAAAGCGCTTCCTTAAAAAGCAAAGTGTAGTAACAAGGCCATCTGGGGGCCAGAAGCAGTCAGGCTGTGTTTGACAAGATCAGAACCAGTAAGACTACAAAAGTGGGTACAAGGACGTGTGATCACTACACATTAACGATTCAGCGGAGCTCCCAAAATTTTTAAATATACGGCCACTGGAAGGACGATCTCGAGCAGGAAGGATTTTTACTCGTTGTGTGTAGCATAACTGTTGCAGCTGTCTCTGTAGGACCCGCCCGAGCTCCGGTCACCGCAGCTGCCACCCTGACTCCAGCTGCTGTAGTAGTCTCTGGAGCCTCCATAGCCCCCACTCCTGGACTCGAACCAGCTCCCCCTGTAGCCGCGGTCCCCTCCTCCTCTGGAGAACCCATGGCCCCGGCCTCGGCCCCCGCGGAAAAAGCCCTGGCCCCCAGCAGAGCCAACTCGGTACCCGCGGGATTGGTTACCAGACGACTTGCCAGCCTGGTCGACCCAGATCTGCCCCCCCATCCACAGACTTCCCGTTCATGGCCATCATGGCGTCCCTGGCATCGTTGATGTTCTCAAAGGTGACAAACCCAAAGCCCCTCAATCGCTGGGTCTCCCTGTCTTTCACGACCACCACTTCTGAGATCTGTCCATATTTTGAGAAGACCTGCTCCAGTGACTGCTCGTTGGTGTCAAAACTCAGCCCTCCGACGAAAAGCTTGCCTTCATGTGATGCCATGGCGGCCAATGAGTCGGGCAGGTCCCTGGCACAGGCGGGAAGATGGCACGGCACAACGGCCCGAGCTACTAACGTGCAAAGTGACTCAAAACTATTTTTTATTTGGCCTCAGATTTTCCATTTTAGGCTATGATGAAATGCAAAAAAAGGTACTTAAAGGAAAACTCCAGTACTGGTGTCAATACTTGAAAAAAATAAAAGAATTAAATTTAATATCCTTTCTTGACTGCTTATTATTAGCAAACTACGACGGACGGACCATCTGTCTCAACAAATATTAAAATTCCCTTTAAACTACCTGACACTTTGAAAGAGTGAGTTTTGAGTACTACCTAGTAGGAAAGTCAATTCTTTTTAAAACAGATCCTTACTTGTGGGCATCATTAAAGCCACATTCTACCAGTAATAAACACAAGCAGTCATCGTGTTCTAAAAACTGAGTGAGAAATTGTTTGTTGGTATGTTTCTCTTAAAAGTTGAAGATTTTCCAAGATATAATAATTTCACACTGGAATTTTCCTTTAAAATTGTGAAAGAATGTGTGGTGGTGTTTACCATACATTAACAAACATTTATTTTGACTCACTTCCTTGTTCTTTACACAGACTGAGAAGCCAGTTAACTCCCTAACGGACAAGAAAGAAAAACTGTAAATATTCTAGGTTTATGTGTGAGGCACACATCTTTGCTTGCTCCTGGCTACAACAGCTCTACAGAATGAAGAACAAAAGATATGTACTCCTAACATATGTGGACTCCTCTGGTCTCTCCTGAAATGATGGCTGTAAACACCAAAGTGCTGGATACAAAGCTCAGCTTCTTTGCCATTACTCATTTTAAAAAATGTCCCTGAACTCCCTCAAGTCATCAGGGAAGAAATTACGGTACATTTCCAATAAGATAAGGAACAGGTACCATGCAAAGTTTATAATCAAAACAGCATTTTCCAAAAGAAGACACTCTTTACATATACAAAAAAATTATTCTTGGAGTAACACTTTCATAGCGTACCAGAACATAATTTAGTATAGAGCGCCCAGCTTACTATGAGACAAGTTAATCTATAATATACTTACAAATGTTTTTAATAACAGCTATCACCATAAAATATACTGAGGAAATAGCTTACTTTTGAAAATTCAGAAAATATTAAATAAATCCTCAACATGAGGAGATGCTTCAACACGTTCTCATAAAGTTTGATTATTTACTTTTAAAACTCAGTAACACCTGGGTGAAAAAACACTAACTAAATACACCAGGTCCCTACTGGTTATGATTCCTTTTCTTTTAAGGGCAGGAAGATGTACATAGACATCATACCTATAAAATTCCTTATTGTTAGGCACACACTGCACAGAACAGTTTTTCAATGAAATGAGGACGGTAGGGGACATGAGAGTATGAAGAATATTAAATACTGATGTGAATTTACTCCTAAGAGCTAAGATTTTCATTGTTTTTCTAAACTGGACTTCAAAAAAACCTGTAATCAGAGATGCCCAATATAACACTCCTTATGGAATAGTACTTTTAAAAAGTATTCTCACATACATGAACTTAACTTATACCAGAGAAAGTACCATTATCCTCAGTAAGGAAAAAAAAAGGAAAGCCAGATTTTTAACTTGTGCCAAGTTCACACTGCACACAGCTTGAATGCCCTAAACTCAGACAAGACACCAGAACTTTTGATTTCAGTTGAAGGTGTTCTATACATTATAATATGTTGACAAATCAAACGTACAAAAGGATCTTGTAGTCTTAATTCTGAAAATGAAAGGAACACACACTATCAAATGCGTATACCTATAGAATGCAAAAAATGAGGTTCTAAAAAGTATTACTGCTACCTGGAAGTATACTGCAAATCATATTTCCTACGATAAGAAACACCAAAAAATAAACATATGTAATATTATTCTCCAGCTACCACTTTCATTAGCTGAATTTTCACGGTCTCATAAGAAAGTCACTCCTCCATCTCTCTAAACAGGGAGAACAGGTGAACAAAGTGGCAATTAGAGACAAGGATAAAATGTTCAGATGGAATCCCTGAAAACATGGCAGAAAAGGGTTGGAAGGACTGGGGAAGAGAAAAATATGTAACAAGTTGTTAATTCAACTTACTTTGGGAGTTCTTTGTCTTGAAGGGATCCCATCAAGAATAGCAATGGCATCTTTATCTTGTTTTAGCATTGTATAACATTCAGCCATTTTGTACTTTACTTCAATTTCAGATGGAAGACACTTAAGAGGAAATGAAAACATCTCTTCAAAATATTACTTCAACAGTACAGCAGTTCTTCAAATTGTTAAACATAAGTACCATATGACCTAGCAATTCTGCTTTTATGTATACAGCCAAGAGAACTGAAAACATGTCCACACAAAACCTGTATACAAATGTTCATAGCAGCATTAATAATAGACAAAAAGTGGAAACAAGGCTTCCCTGGTGGCGCAGTGGTTAAGAATCCACCTGTCAATGCTGGGGACAGGGGTTCGAGCCCTGGACCAGGAAGATTCCACATGCTGCAGAGCAACTAAGCCTGTGCGCCACAACTACTGAGCCTGCACTCGAGTCCACGAGCCACAAGTACTGAGCCCATGCGCCTAGAGCCCAGGCTCTGCAAGAAGAGAAGCCACGGCAACAAGAAGCCCACACACCACAACAAAGAGTAGCCCCCGCTCACCGCAACTAGAGAAAGCCCACGTGCGGCAAGGAAGACCCAACACAGCCAAATAAAAATTAATTAATTAATTATTTTAAAAAGCGGAAGCAACTCAAATGCCCATCAACTAATGAACAGTTAAAATATGGCATATCCATACAATGGAATATTATTCTGCAATAAAAAGGAATAAAGAACTGATTCTTTATTCCATGCTGTAACATGGATCACCCTTGAAACCATTATGCTAAGTAAAGGAAGCCAGCCACAAAAGGCCACATATTGCACAATTCCATTCATATAAAATGTCCAGAACAGGTAAACCCACAGAGGCAGAAAGGTCAGTGATTCCCAGGGACTGGGGAGATAAAGGGCAGAAGGTTTCTCTAGGGTGATGAAAATATTCTGGAATTAAGACAGTACTGATGGTTGTACAATTCTGTGAATACACTAAAACCCACTGAATTATGAATTTTATGTTGTGAATTGTATGTCAATTTTTTAAAAGACTCTTTAAAGATTAAATGTATTTGATTCACATGGAAGGTTCAGCATGGTGCTAAGCATACAGAGCGCTCAAAAACAGTTAACTACTGGCCTTCCCTGGTGGTGTGGTGGTTAAGAATCTGCCTGCCAATACAGGGGACACGGGTTCGAGCCCTGGACCAGGAAGATTCCACATGCTGCAGAGCAACTAAGCCCGTGAGCCACAACTACTGAGCCTGCGAGCCACAACTACTGAAGCCCGCGTGCCTAGAGCCCGTGCTCTGCAACAAGAGAAGCCACCACAATGAGAAGCCTGCTCACCGTAACAAAGAATAGCCCCCACTCACTGCAACTAGAGAAAGCCTGCGCACAGCAACTAAGACCCAACAAAGCCATAAATAAATAAATTTTAAAAAAGGAGTTAACTACTTCTATGAATGAGTCTGTGTGGATAATACACATGACTTCCATTCAATGTCAGAAAACAGAATTCCTGGCAATCAGCTCTTTAATAACAAAAACAAAGGTTCTGGGCTTCCCTGGTGCCCCAGTGGTTAAGAATCCGCCTGCCAATGCAGGGGACACGGATTCGAACCCTGATCCGGGAAGATCCCACATGCCGTGGAGCAACTAAGCCCATGCGCCACAACTACTGAGCCTTTGCTCTGGAGCCCGCGAGCCACAACTTCTGAAGCCTGTGCACCTGGAGCCCGAGGAGAAGCCCGCGCACCGCAACAAAGAGTAGCCCCTGCTCACTGCAACTAGAGAAAGCCCGCGCACAGCAACGAAGACCCAACGCTGCCAAAAATAAATAAAAATTAAATAAATTAAAAAAAAAAAAAGCTTCGTTTTAAAACAAAAACAAAGGTTCTACATAAAAAGAAACAAGAGGAAGATGTACAGTCTTTAAAAAAAAAGCAATGATGTTACTTTGTATCTTTTTTTAATGTGGAAAAATACAGAACACAACTCATAATTTCACTTCCAGTTCATTCTACTGACACTTCTCTTAAATAAGTTGCATGTGTAATTTAAATTTAAAGACAGATTCAAACTGAAAAGTCAAAGTTCCCCTCTCCCTGAAGCTTCCCATTAAATGTATTTCCTTCACGCACACAGAAAATTTTTCATGTATATTAACCATATATATTTTAGGCATACACCAAGATATACTTATATAACTATAAACTATCCCCTTTAGGGAATTCCCTGGAGGTTCAGTGGTTAGAACAACGTGTTTTCACTGCCCAGGGCCAGGGAGGGCCCGGGTTCAATCCCTGGTCCCGCAAGCCGTGGGGTGTGGCCAAAAAATAAAAATAAAATAAATAAACTATCCCCTTTAAACAAAAAGAGTAGTGAACACACTGCTTCAAACCTTATTTTCTTTACTAATATACACAGTGTTTTCCACATCAGCACATACACCTCTATATTTCATTTCTTCAATATTTCCATCATATTCCATCCTAGGGCTATATTATAATTTAACTAGATCCTACTGATAAACACTTTTGCTTCCAGTTTCTTACCATTATAAACAATACTACAATAAGCAGCCTTAGTTATATATCCTTGTAAACCTTTTGTGAATCTACTATTAGGATTAATTTCTAGCAATGGGATGACTGTCGAATGGTGAAATTATAATTTTTTACCCTTCATTTATTTAATTATCAAGCAACCAAAACTAGTAGGAATTCATAAGATTATTTTATATAAATTTCCCCAGGTGCTCACTATCCTAAAAACTGAGTTACAGTTTAAGAGTGTACTTTCATTAAAATTATTAAAAACACTTTAGATTTTGAGTTCTGTTTGTATAAAAGGGAGGAACAGGGACTTCCCTGGCGGTCCAGTGGTTAAGACTCCTCGCTTCTAACACAGGGGGCGCAGGTTCAATCCCTGGTTGGGAAACTAAGCCAAAAAATAAATAAATAATAAAATAAAAGGAAGGAACAATGAAAGGCTTTGGTTAGAGCCTAGATAATTCCATTTAATTTTTAAACTAATTAATTTAAAATTTAATTCTATTTTTAGATTCATCCATAGAGTCAACTTTGCTTCTAGCCCTTAGTGCTTGGTTGGATGCATTCTTGCATCTAAGTGGTTTTTCATCTTTGTTTCTCCAGTCAGCTCCCCTTTAAAATTACTTTTTATTTTACTTCTTCTACATCTAATCAGCAATCTTTCAAATTCCTTCAGCGTCTCTTGCTCTCAAAACAACCCAACCAACCAAAACCACATCACACATCTACTTCCAATTACCTGACTTTGTGGAGTGGATGCAGAATTTCCAGTTGAAGGTCTCACTTTTGAAGTTTTACTTAAGGCTTTCTTCTGCTGTAAAGCCATAGTATACTTACTCACAGCATTCCGATATTCCTTATCGTGAAAGAGAGAATCTGCATGATACACCAAAAGCTGGTACTTCTGAGATGGGGAGAATAACTCACTAGAAAACAAAGAAAGTATACCCCCTACATGGGTTGTTTTGAAATGTAAGAAAGAACGCTCTCCTTAGTGTCTACATAAGCCTAATACACCTTATGTTGACAGTTTACAAAAAAGTAAATTTACCTTAAGTGCTACTCCCCCAAAAAAGAGGCAAGAGTCATACTTCATGTCAATATGGTCAACACATGTAGAAAATTGCCTTAAATTGTTCTCTTTAGTATAAAAACAATCGATACATCTAAATCAAATTCAGTAATACAGAGATATACAAAGAGAAATGTAATACAGTTGACCCCTGAACAAACCAGGTTTGAATTACAAGGGTCCACCTATATGTATAGATTTTTTCCAATAGCACACACTACAGTACTACACCACTCTTGGTTGAATCCATGTATGCAGAACTGCAGATATGGAGGAAATGCATATATAAAGGGCCAACTATAACTTATACGTGGATTTTTGACTGTGGGGAAGGTTGGCACCCCCTCCCCTCCCCTGAAAGTTGTTCAAGGGTCAACTGTGTATCTTTTCCTCCCCTTCTTTAACCCAAGCCCTCTTAATTGAAGAGTCTGATATATATCCATAACTCTCATATTAACATCAATTTTTAGGGTAATACAGACAAAAGAGAGCAATCATGACTTAACTAATATTACTAAATATTACCAAAGAAGGGTTAAAGAACCTGGAAAAGAGAAACTCACCACTCTGAATCATTTTTAGCTAAGTGCTGAACAAAAAGAGGTTTGGAGGGTACTTAAAACTCTTCAAATACTGAAGAAAATGGGAATACTAAAATACCGAAGTATGGGAATAGACTAGGATAAGCCAGTGGGACAGAGTGGAACAGAATGAGAGGATTAGCCTTATTTGATGAAAGGTTTTTTTTTTTTTTTTACATACAGAAGTAAACTTCACTAACAAGAATTTTTACTTCCTTGAGTCTCAGGGGTTTAAGGACAGCGTAACAGAACCAATACATTTCAGAACCTTTTCTTTAACCTTGAATATTGCTCACAAGTGTTATAAGTGCCTATGACTGGCCACCAATCTTAATGGGAAACTCGTATTTTTAATCTCCAATCCCATCCTTCCCCCATTTAGAGTTTACATTTTTTCATTGACAGGGAAAACCTACAGCCACTTAAAATGAAAGAACAGTCAGAGTCAAAGAACTCTGGAGACAGTTAACTGCTCAGTAAATGAAGGATACTCAAGAATAGGTACCATAGATTAGTAGGTGCCAGGGGCTGGGGCAAGTGGAATTGGTGAGTGACTACTAATACATTTGGGGTTTCTTTTGGAGGTAATGCAAATGCTTTGGAACAGACAGTGGTGACAGTTGTACAACTCTGTGAATGTACTTAAAACCACAGAAATGGGGGCTTCCCTGGTGGTGCAGTGGTTGAGAGTCTGCCTGCTGATGCAGGAGACACGGGTTCATGCCCCGGTCCAGGAAGATTCCACATGCCACGGAGCGGCTAGGCCCGTGAGCCATGGCCGCTGAGCCTGTGCTCTGCAACGGGAGAGGCCACAACAGTGAGAGGCCCACATACCGCAAAAACAAAACAAAACAAAACAAAAAACAAGAAATGTATTCTTTAAAAGGGTGAATCTGATGGTATGTAAATTTTATCTTAGTAAAAAAATAATTTTAAAAAAAGGATAGGTAGGCTAAACACTGGATATAAAGTTACAAAGGAAAGTCAAGGACTGAAAGGTACAGTCCAGATAGCTGAGATCTCTTCCAACTCTGAGATTCTATATATTTAGTGAAAAATAAGATGTGAAAGAAAATAGTTGATTTGATAGAAATACTACACTCAGAGAAAGGATTCAGATGTTTATATATTGTAACATACATGCCTACTTATGCATGCCTAAGTTATCTCTGAAATGATACATGAAAAACTGTTAAGTTGTTGTCTGTGGAGAAGGGAAATAGTGAAGTGAGGGTCAAGACTCAGGGTCAGACACTTATCTGCATACCCCTTCAGTACTGTTTGATTTTTTTTTATGGTGTGTATTGGCAATTAAGAAATATTAAAATATAAATGATAAAGGTCAGAATTTAAACACCTCCTGAAGCTAGGAAGGAAACTGCCAGTTTAGCCTAAAATAAAGAACGGGCCAAGTCTAATCAAAGGACCAAACTCCTTCTAACTATCCTGTAACATCTTCAAGAAGCAAGAATAATGACTAACTGGTGCATAAATTCCCAATGGTAGACACTGTATGCTTTGACAAATCACTCAGAACCAGGTGAAAGGCTCCAGAATAAACAAAGAAGGCCGACAGAGACCAGGGCTCCTCACTGTCAACACTAAGTGGATGGTGGTAAAATGATGGGTCTCCCATAGTGAGGTCCAAAAGCACTAATGGAAATTAAATAGGCAGGAACAGCTGCAACGCCCTTAAGTGGCCCAGACAGCTTCCAGAGCAGGCCAAATGCAAATGGGTCCACCCTCAGTAGAAGATTACAATGCCATTTAGACGCAGTAGACTGTGGTGGGTCAGAATGGAGACCTTAGAGTCAGAAGGACCAAAATTCAGACATTGCGGCTCTTCCACTTACTAGATGTGTGAACTTGAACACGGTATTTCACCTTCCTGAGGTTGCACGTATTTCCTTAGCACCTTCAATAAACGTTTGAGTACGTACTGCACACAGGCACTGTGCTGATTTCATTAAGTGTTAAGTGATGAAGAACATAGATCTTAAAAGTTCCCATCACAGGAAAAACATTTTTCTGTAACTATGTGAGGTGACAGATGTTAGCCAAACTTACTATGATGATCATTTCACAATACAGACAAATATCGAATCATTAAGTTGTACACCTGAGACTAGTATGTCAATTATATCTTGGTTAAAAAAAAAAAAGTGATGTAGAATATAACACAGGGCAAAAGGATAGAATGGTGAGGGTAAGGGACAATTCTGGTGGCCAGACAAGAGTTCTCTAGGAGGGAGACTGTCATACAGAGTGAAGTAAGTCAGAAAGAGATAAATATCGTATATTAACGCATATATGTGGAACCTAGAAAAATGGTACAGATGAACCGGTTTGCAGGGCAGAAAGTGAGACACAGAAGTAGAGAACAAACGTATGGACGCCAAGGGGGGAAAGTGACGGGGTGTAGGATGAATTGGGAGATTGGGATTGACATATATACACCAATACGTATGATATAGATAACTAATAAGAATCTGCTGTATAAAAAAATGAAATTTTTTTAAAAAAGAGTTCTCTAGGAGGGATATCTGAGCTGAAACCTAAATGAGGAGGCAGCTCTGAGGCGAGGACTCTAAGCAGACCCGCAAATGCAAAACCCCTGAGTTGAGAACGAGCTTGGTGTGTTCAAGTAACAGAAAGAATAGCCAGGGAAGCTGGAGCACAGACAGAGTGAGAGAGAGATGTCTGGCCTTGTAGGCCGTGGGAAGGAATTTTAATTTAACCAAAAGGGAGAAATTTAAGCACAGGGGCGACATGCACTCAAGGCTGGAAATAGTCCTGTGCTTCATCCGCAATAAGACTCCATAAGCGGCAGCTTTGGAAACGTGAAAAGGGCAATGCGAGTCCTTCAAAAGGTGCCACTCTCACCCATCAAGGAAGTCTCCCGTTTTCAGGTGTTTGCAGGGACGAGAAAGTAAATAAACCCTACTGACACACCCAGGGAAAAAATCAATCTCAAATGCAGGACAAGGGTCTAAAACCAGGCGATTGGGCTTCTTTGAGCCTCGTTGAGCGAGAAAACGTTCTTCGGGAAGGAGCTGGGAAGGGATGAGTCAGCCCAGCGATGTGACAGTCGCTATGCCGGGCGACAAGTTCCTTAGGAAAACCTATGCTCCCAACTTTCGGGAAACCCTAGCCAAGGTGGTCCTCAGAGCCCCCGCCTTCCGTTTCTCGAAGCAGCCGCTCGCCGCATCCCCCGCAGGGAGCGCATCCCAGCGCCCGGCACAACGCGGGGACCCAGAGAACTCAACTTCGTTCCTCAGTCGGCTCCGCCCGACGAGGCCCTCGCTGACCTCGGAACCTCAGCTGGGGCCCGCAGCCGCTCCTTCCCGCCAATCCCCAGGTCCCCTCAGCCCCCGTTCCCAAACCGGCGCCGCTTTCTCCTCAGCCCCAGGCCGCTCCCCGCCTCAACTCACGGGTTGTTATTACTCATTGTAAGTAACAAGCTGCTGAGGAGCCGCACGTTGGAGTGCAGCCCCGCTGCCGCCATGTCTCGCAAGTGGTCTATCACATTCATTCTGCCCAGCAAGGCCGCCGCGGCACCAGCGCGAAGAGAAGGTTGCAGCTCCTTCGGGAAGACTCCAAGATGGCCGCCTCGCCAGGGTCCATCGGGTCTACACGCGGCACCGCCCCCAGGATAATAGGCAGCTACCGAAATGCCTGAGAAAAACGAAAACAAAAACAAAACCCTCAGTTCCTTCCCCGCCAAGCCCCCTGTGAGGTGGTACGATTTGGTTTGGGGTGGGGGTGGGGGGTTGTTTTTAGCAAAAGTTACATCATCATTCTAAGCTGCAAACTTTATGGAGGGCTTACAATGAGCTGGGGACAGAAGGCAACTCAGGACGAATGCATGCCCAATTGAAATGAGTCTGAGAGGACTCTCAGAAATTAATAAAAATGTATTGATATTTATCATAAATAAAAATTAATATACTAGTAGGATGCGGGGGGAAAAAAATTCCCAACAGCTGAAATTAGATATTTTAATCAGGCGCCAGGGGCAGTCCTAACTGCTTTTAGTCTCGCACGAGCGCGAAGGCTGAAAGCGCCACGCCCCCTCCCCTCAGGTGTTGCGTGTACCTTTGGGAGTACGGCTTCACTCTTTGGGTGCAAAAGGACGTATTTTTACCATGGGAAATTACTCACTAGCGCAGAGTGAATAAAGACTAGGTTGAGTTTTAGCCGTCCTAATATGAGTGTAGTGTTATCTTGTGATTTTTGCCATTCCCTAATGACGTATGAAATTGAGCATCTTCTCATACGCCTATTTGCCATCTGGGTATCTTCTTTGGTGAGTTATCTGTGCAGTTCTTTTGTCCATTTTTTAGTCCGGGTGTTCGTGTTCTTTTTTTTTTCTTTCTTTCTTTCTTTTTGGCCGCAGGGCGCGGCTTGTGGGATTTTAGTTCCCCGACCAGTGATCGAACCTGGGCACTCCGCAATGAGAGCGCGGAGTCCTAACCATTGGATGGCCAGGGAATTCCCAGGGTGTTCGTGTTCTTATTGTTCAATTTTAAGGGTTCTTTGTGTATTTCGGATAGCAGTCCTTTATCAGATTTTATCAGAAAATATTTTGAAAATATTTGCTCCAAGTCTGTGGCTTGTCTCATTCTCTTGACCACTCCCTCGCTTTAACTTTCAGTAAGAGTCCTGAAATGAATGACTAATAATAATGGCCCGAAAAGAAACAGTGAAAATATTATTTTATTAAACTTCATCTAAATAATGATGTTAGTAAAATTTTTAATGAAAAAATAAAACCAATATTACAGGACAAAAAGTTAACGGATTAATACTTTTTAATTATATTAATGTATTTTTAAAAACTGTTACCCTACATGTTGGATTAGCAAAGAAATGAATAATATACAGTTTCTGGTCTTGACCTTTAAATTCTGAAAACTTGTCAATGACTGCCAAGCTGATCATCTTTGCGTATTCATGTTCCATACACAGTGTAAACAGATTTGTCAATTATTGGAGCACAGCCATGAAAAGACAGGGAGGAAACTTAAATGCATATTACTAAGTGAAAGAAGCCAATCTGAAAAGGTTACATTCTGTATGATTCCAACTATATGACATTCTGGAAAAGATAAAACTGGGGACAGTAGAAACATCAGTGGTTGCCAGGGATAGAGGGGAGGAAAGAAGAGGTGGAGCAAAGGGCATTTTTAGGGCAGTGAAACTATTCTATACGACACTATGATGGTAGATACATGTCATACACTTGTCAAAACTCATAAAATGTACATCACCGAGAGAAATCTAAGGTAAACTATGGACTTTGGGTGACAATGGTAGGTTCATCAGTTGTAACAAATGCACCCTGAATGTGAGATGCTGATAGTGGGGCAGGCTGTGCATGTGTGAGGGCAGGGGTATATAGGAACTCTCTGTTAGTTGCCCTCAGTTTTGCTCTGAACCTAAAACTGCTTGAAAAAATTAAACTTAATAAAAAAGAAGAAAGAAGGGGGGGTGTCAAAATTGACCTTCTCTGGGTGTCAAACACACTAGATACACCATTGTATCTAACACACTTGCAACAATGGCTGACACACAGTAAACATTATATAAATGCTTGCTATTATACTTTTTTCTACATTTGAAATATTTCATAATTAAAACCACATCTAATAATAGCAAAAAGTGGAAACAAGTGAAATGTTCACCAGCTGATGACTATATCACCAAATATGGTATATTCATACAATGTAATCCTATTCAGCAAAAAATTAAAAACGAAAAGAACAAACTACTGAGAACAACATGAATGAATCTCAAAAATATTATGCTAAATATAAAGTCATGGTAGGTGAAAGAAATCAGACCAGAAGAAAAAAAAATCACATAATCCCTGACTCCATGTATATGAAATATCCAGAAAAAATAAACTGAAAGCAACAGAAAGATTTGTGATTGCTTGGTAGCAAGGGTGGGAACAAAAACAAAAGCCCATGTTCTGGGACTTCCCTGGTGTCGCAGTGGTTGGGAGTCCGCTGGGACACGGGTTCGAGCCCTGGTCTGGGAAGATCCCACGTGCTGCGGAGCAACTAAGTCCGTGTGCCACAGCTGCTGGGCCTGCGCTCTAGAGCCCGTGCGCCACAACTACTGAAGCCCATGCGCCTGGAGCCTGTGCTCCGCAGCAAGAGGGGCCACCCCAAGGAGAGGCCCGCGCACCGCAACGAGGAGTGGCCCCCGCTCGCCGCAACTGGAGGGGGTCCTCGCGCAGCAACGAAGACCCAACGCAGCCAAATAATAAGTAAATAAATTTATTTTTTAAAAAAAGCCCATGTTCTTATGGAGCTGACATTATAATGAGGAAAGATAAACAGTAACTAAGTAATACAAATAGTATTATGAGAAGGTAATAAAACATACTAAAGTATTTATGGAAGAAAAAATGTATAGGGTTTACTTTAAAATATTCCTGGGAGTGGAGGGAGATAGATGAAACAAAATTAGCAAAATGTTGATATCAACTGAAATTAAGTGGCAGGCACATGGGAGTTCATTATGCTATTCTTTCAACTTGTATGTATATTTAAATTTTCCATAAGTGTTTTTTAAAGGTGCTTAAAAGGTAAAGAAGAAAGAAAGGGAGTGTTGGGGCAGGGGCTGCCATTTTTAATCAAAATCAGAGAAGGCTGCACTGATTAAGTGACATATGAGTAAAGACCTGAGGGAAGGAAAGTGGGAGCCATGTAGAAATCTACAGGGAGAGGATCCCAAGCAAAGGAAAGAGCAAGCTTAGAGGTCTGAAGCAGGAGTGAGCTTGGCATGTTACAGGAAGAGTAAGGAGGTAAGTGGGCTGGAGCTGAGCAAGCAGGGAGAGGAGTAGGAACCAAGTTCATGGATGCCAATGGAGAGTCTTGAGCAGAAAAGTAACATGATCTGACTTGCTTTTTAAGAGGATTGTTCTGTCTGATGCGTTAAGAGTAGATTGGAGGAGGCAATCAAGTCCAAAATGTCCAAGTGCCAAGGTTGAGAAGGCCTGTTATAAAGGGAAGGAGGAAATGAGTGACAGCAGGTGGGGGAAACAGAATAAAGATTTTTTTTTAAGATGGAAGAAATAACATGTTTATATCCTGATGGGAATGAAGGAGAATATATCACTAGCTAAATGGCAGGAGAAACGTTGATAATTTCTATAAAGAAATAGTGCTAAAAGACATCTGTGGAGTTGATAAACAACACAAAGAATGCATGAAGCAAAATATTTATAGAGAAAAAGAAGCAAAGGAGAGACCACCTCCTCTGGAAATTTTTTAAAAATCCTCTTTAAAATAAATTACTCCAAAATAGGATGGATTCCATGGTTAAGTTCCATTAACCTCATGTAAGTCAGATCATACTGATTTTCATATTATACAAAGGACACATGTAATATTAAACTAACATGGGACACACAAGAGATAAATCCAAGGGGACAAAGCCTCCTCTTTCTCATGGAATCATCATCTTCTAAAATGACAATTTTGTAACTGGAGGGGTCTTTTCAGACACACAGCTGGCCATGAACATTTAGACAAGCCACTTAGGTGCAGAATGATGTGAATTCCATGGAGTGTTGAATCAGATACATTTAGAGGAACAATTTATAAATGTAAATGTTTTGCTCCACTTAAGTTCATTTCTAAATCTCCAACAGCCTAAGAATGAAAATCTCTCCCAGCTCCATTAGACATTTTTCTTAGATCTGTCTTTTGTACAAGGGGAAAAACATAACACTTGTAAATTGCTCTAAGGGAAACATTACTTAATATCCCTTAAGTGTCTCCTGGCAGTGATAGCCTTCCTTTCAGTGGAAAAGTAACTTTAGGACAAAGAATTTGCCTGGACAACTGGAGGGAATAAATATAGCCATCTTTCCAAATGATTTTCCCTCTTTTCAGTAAAAGTGGCTGGCAAAGCAATATATTCTAGGGTTCTAAGGTGTCCAGATTGGCACTTCGTTTATGAGATGGTCAGACAAGTAAGGACAGAGCAACTAATTCACACACAAATGCAAAACCAACAAGGCTTGCTGAGTTAGAGTTCAACTGCCATAAAATAAAGTTTTCTGGAGATTTTAATACTATTAACAACCCCCTCCAAGAAATTCCTCTCTAGGACTCGCATGTTTTATTGATCCACCCTTTATTCCGATTAACCTCTTAGACTGATTCTTTGCTGAGTCCTTCCTTCTTCCTGATTCCTAACTGCTGACTTGTCTCAGGGATCAAATTCTATCTCCTAATTCCGCTAAAGACCTCCTGTCTCTCAAGTCTTTATTTCTATTGCTTTCACGTATATTTTTGTTTGCTGCTGGATATCACCCAGGCCATCAGCTGCCCCCTCACACTCAAAGTGCTCAGAATTAAACTCATCTCCCACACCCCTTCCAAAGGACTTCCAATTATTGATTTCTAGAAGTTTGCTCGGGACAATTCCAGTTTATGTCTGCTGTTCCAGAATTAATTATAGCACGCTCTTTTATGCTCAAGAGTTTGGATGACAAATTATGTCATCACCCAACCTATTTTCATCAAAGGAACTGCTATTGTCCAAGTCAACTAGACTCAAAACTAAAACAAACAACAAAAAAATCCAAAAAACAAACAAACAAACCAAAAAAAACACAACTC